GCAAGCTGAGTCGAAATCTGCTGTGTCAAGTAGTCTACACTTGGAACACTTTGTATTTATTTTACACAGAGAAAAATGTTAGAAGGCTTGGGGCTGGAGAGATGGCTCAGCAGTTATAAGTACTGGCTCTTGTTGAGGACCTGGGTTCAGTTCCTGGCATCCACATGACAGCTAACAACCACCTATAGAATTCCAGTTCTAAGGGATTTTAATACCCTATTCTGGCTTCTATGGGCATCCTTAGGTGATTTCATCATGATGCAAATACACAAAGGGCTAATGTCATACATTATCAGGTGATAGACTCAGATGGGATCATTACCATTAATGTGGTCCACTGTGGACCACAACATCATCACACCACTAACTATTTGAAACACTGGATGAAGCTGGGCCACGGGGGCACTCAGGAAGCTGAAGCCAGCCTGGGTGACAGCAAGACCACGTTTCAGTATCTCTCTTCTTTTTCTCCTATGCCTCCTCACTGATTGGAAACTATGCTTATGAATAATGCCAAAGTTTTATCCACAGGATACTTCTAAGTCACAAGGACAAAACCATACATTGAAGGGATCTGATAGTACCGAATCCAGTATGTGGGTGCAAGCACCTGTGCACATACATACGGAGGCCAGAGGAAGACATCAGGCATCCTCCCCTCTTGCTATCCACCTTACCCTCTTGGTCTCTCACTGAACCAGAAGCTCACTGGACGAAACTGGCTGGTCAGTGAGCGCCTGGAATCCGCTGGTCTCTACTCCTAATGCTAGGGTTATAGGCACATGCAGCCATATCTAATTTTTACGTGGGCACTAGAGATTTGAACTCAGGTCCTCATGCTTGCATAGCAAGCACTCTTACCCACTGTTCCATCTTCCTAGCCCCTCTTTGTTTTGTTTCCCTTTGTTTTTGTTAGTTGTGGTTGGCTTTTTTTCCCCTACAGTGCTGGGGATGGAACTCAGGCCCCCTTGCATGCTAGACAAGTATTCAACTAACCACTGGGTTATAACCCCAGTCCTGGATGATTTTTGGCTTTGTTTTAACTATTACTGATTTGAATAGATCACTAGAAAGCTTTACTATTGCCAAACTTTAAAAACTCCACAAAAAGTTATTGAGACTGAAGTTCAATTTATAGAAAATTAACCCTCATCTCTACAAGCCTTTAACCAGAGGCTTTAATCAACTTCAAACAAAAGAAGCATCGCTTACTTTGATGTTTCATATTCTGAGGTGTCTATATTGTATACCCACACTTTTCTATTATTAAAAAATTTACTTTCCTGGAAGTCTTTCTCTTGCTTCCCCTCTAGGCATTGTACACATTCAAGTTCCCCCTTTAGCACCTGTCCTGGCCATATGCTCCAATCCTCCCACAAATTGGCTGTGATCTGAGCAGAGCAATAAACTCTGTGAATATCCAAATCAATGCAGCTCTCCCTGGCACATTCCTAATCATGATATCAGCACTGACATACAAGAGTAAAACTCTGGACGTAATTATAAATCTAAATACACTATGGAAAAAAAAAACTAAGCTTTTTTGTGTGCCAAAATACAACCACTAACAACGTCAAAGGCATACCAAATCAGAAACAAATATGTCAAGACATTGTCTATAAATACAAGAGGTTATCTTTCTCAGTAGTTGTTGACAAACACCAGCCATGGGCTAGGGGTATAGCTTGATAGTAGAACACGTGCTTAATATGCCAGAGGCCCTCTGTTTAATCCCCAGAACCACAAATAAAAACAGCAAGAAGACTCATTATTTATCAAATTATCCAGTATTCTCCTTCTGATTTTAACACTGAGAGCCCACCATGCCCTTGGCCACCTTCTGAGGGGTTCTCCATGCTGAAGTCACTGCCACCACTTCCTCACAACTCCACCATCAGAGCTTTATCTGACCATGGACAAGGGGCCAACCCAGGGGCAGCCTGAGTGAACCAATCTGTTTTGGGCCCTGTCCCTGGGGTAGAATCATCCCTGGCCATGCAAACTTTCTCTTGGATAATATACAGGCAAGACCTCGTAAAAGTCTTGGAAGTTTTTCTGTGACACAATGGCCCAGTTCTTCAGGGTGGCCATTAATGTCTCATGAACCCCATGAATTCTGGCTCATATCTCTTTGCTCTGTAAAAGTAAGATCCCTCTTCTCAGTTGACTGGCCAAGCAATTGGACCAAAAGTCCTAGCTGAAGCACCAGTGAGACGGCTCAGCAGATAAAGGCACTTGGCCACCAAGGCTTACAACTGACTTCAACCCCCAGGGCCTACATGGTAAAAGAAAAAGACCTAACAAGTTGTTCTCTGACCTCCATATATGTGCTGTGGCATGTTTGAAATAAGTAAAAATTTAAAAACAAAATGCTGGCTGCTCTTGCAGAGGACCTGGGTTAGGTTCCCAGCACCTACATGGTGGCCAACAACCATCCCTAACTCCAGTTCCAGGGGATCCAACATCCTCTTTTGGCCACCACAGGCACTGCACACATGGGTATATTTACATACATGTAGGCAAAACACTTGTACACATAAAATAAAAATAAATAAATTTTTAAAAAACTAAGCATCCACTTTTCCATCCTCTTTCTTTCTTAGGATCTGACTCAAGCCTTTTTTATAAAAAGAGGTTTATTTTTAATTATGTACAGGTATGTTCCTCTGCGTGTGTGGGCTTCTGTGTGTGTGTATACACATGTATGCAGGTCCCCTCAGAGACCAAAAGAGGGTGTTGTATACCCTAGAGCTGGAGTTACAGATGGTTGTGAGCTACCTGATATGGGTGCTAGGAATCAAACTTGGGTTCTCTGCAAAAGCAGCAAGTGCTCTTAACTGCTGGACCATCTCTTCAGCCTAGACCTATTTTTTTTCCTTTTTTTTTAAGGATTTGCTGCTAGTGTAAGAAATAGCGAGAGAGAGAAAAACAAACAGCCCAGCCGAGGAGTTCAGATTCCAATAGACACACTCCACCTCCAGTATCTCATACCTTCAGGATGAGGATAATAAAACAAAGTTTTCTTAGAAACATTCTCTCAACTACTCTGATGAAACATAATCAGGAAAAGAAAACAAACAAACAGAAAAGGCCTTCATAACTGTTAATAAGACACCCTAAATATTAAAGAAGAGGTAAGATTTTCAGGTGTAATTTCAATGAGTTCCACCAATGTTTGACCAAATCTTTGTAAATTCCATATTATCAAACTGTAAACCAGGAAATAATTTGAAAGGAGTGTGAGGTAGCCTAAGGCATGGGCTAGGGATATAGCTCAGTGTAGAGTGACACCAAGCATGCGAAAGGCTCTGGGGTGGAGGTCACAAACAGGAATAAGAAAGCATTGATCTAAAGAGCTCTAAAGTCAATCCTATTGCTTTGTGTTGCATCCACATGTATGTGCTCATACACTCAGACATATGGTGTGGGGGAGGGAGGTGAAGAGCCATTGGCAAATGGCCCTTCCCCATTGGCTGGAGATGTTACCTAGCTAGCTTCATCATCATTGAACACATAGGGCTCTAACTCTAGAACTCTAGGCTGACTCAGGAGGCTTAAAGGCTTGAGCAGATGACCCACGAAGAGCAAGATAACAATCTATTTGAAAATCTAAACGTCTACAGCAAGGGTATAGTTCAGTAGGACAGTATTTGCCTAGCATGTGTGAGGAACTAGGTTTCATCCTCAGCACTGTAAAAATAAACCAACAAGGATTTTCCCTCATAATTTGCCAATAAATAAAACTCATAATTTATACAAAGACTGGCTATTCAAAAGCATGCCTTCTGCTAGTGCATGCAAACTGTACAGCCGGTTACCCATTCCTATAGCCATAGTCTTGCTATATCTTTTGGTAACAATGGAAATGAGGTGGAGGATTTAAAAAAACTGCCTATAACCAAATTACAAAGCACTTTTACCTCATGGGATTTTACATCAGCGCTGGGGGCATAGTGGTGAAGAGTGCTTGCTGCACAATCATGAGGACCAGAGTTTGGATCCCAGCACCCATGTAACAAGTGGGAGGGGAGTGTTATCTCCAAAACACCTGTAACTCCAGACCCAAGGCCCAATTCTGACCTCCTTGGGCACACAGGTACACACACAGATATATAAATAAATAAATAAATAACTTTGTGCTTAAAATATCTACTTAGTGGACTGACCAAATGGCTCAGCAGATCAAAGTGCTTGCAACCAAGGCTAATGACCTAAGATGGATCCCCAGGACCCACATAGTAGAAGGAGAGAACTAACTTGAAGTTGTCCTCTGACCTCCACACAAGAGCCAGGGTACAAACATGCAAGCAATCTCTCTCTCTCTCTCTCTCTCTCTCTCATCAATGTAAAAATTTTAAAATCTACATTGGGCCCCCAGCAAAATGATTTTACAACTCTCTAAATGGATCATGAATTAATAAAAGCAGCTTTGGTGGCATTATTTGCCAACCTTAAAGGCTGAAACAGCTGGGCATGGTGGCTCACGCCTGTAGTCCCAGCACTGGGGAAGCAGAGGCAGGTGGATCTCTGTGAGTTCAAGGCCAGCCTGGTCTACATAGTGAGTTCCAGGACAGCTGGGGCCACAGGGAGACCGTGCTTCAAAAAGACCAAAAAAAAAAGAAAAATTAGAAAGAGCCCAAATAAATGACCTAACACTGCAACTCAAGGCACTGGAAAGGCAAGAACAAATGAAAAAAAAAAAAAAGGCTGAAACATACCAACTTTTTCATAGTAATCAGTCAAAAAAATTTAATACTTTTTTAAAAAAGAGAACTTCTAGACTCCAGCAAAACTGAGTGGACAGGGAGCTTCCACGTGTCCTCTGTGCCCCCACATGAGCACAAGTCTCTGTGAGCTGGCTAATTTTTAAAAAGCAAACACATTCCCTCTGGAAACAAAGCAAGACAGTACCTTAAGAAAATGTGCTTTCTAACTTACAGCCCTGAGTGTCAAGCCAATGGCTGTGCACACCTCCACTTCACAACAAATGAAGAACTCACCATATAACACCCGATGAGGAATGCCGCGTTGGCTTGTTTTCTCTGATCAGTGCCAGTAAAATGAATAATTTTCTTCCTTAGCATTGTAATGGACTGTATAAAAATAAACTATTGTTAGTATTTTCTTCTCCACTTCAAGTTTCCTAAAATTTTACTTTGTTGCGATAAATTTTAAATCTCACAAAAGATAAGAAGTGACAAGAGCAAGACTTTTGAGATGAATGACTCTTCCTATAGGAGACATATTCTGAAAGTAAAATGAAATTAAAATTAAAAAGGAGAAAGGAGAGTGTGACTACAGACAGGCGTAGCAAAAGGTCACTGTAGAGAGGCCTGGGCTGCGAAGCTAAGAGCACTTAATCCTCAGAACAAAGACTGAAGAGTCCATAGAGACTAAAGTTCCCTCCATGCCATTGTCACTGAACAGTGCCATGTTTTCCTGAGATGTAAGATCATGACATCACCTACAATAAGTGAGGAGGGAAACTCAATATAACACCTCAATGTAAAAAATGAACAACAAAGCATGGGCTGCCTGTGGAAGGAGACAAGAAGCTGGAAACGGGCCTGTGAACCCTTTCTCTTTCCTCCTGTTTGTTTTCATTTTCAAAGCACTCTAGTCCTAGGACTGGAGAGATAGCTCAGTGGTTAAAAGCACTTGCCGCTCTTGCAGAAGACCTAGGGTTCAGTTCCCAGCACCCCCATGGTGGCTAACAACCATCCATAATTCCAGTTCCAGGGGATCCAACACCATGTTCTGGCCTCCACAGGCATGGCATGCATGTGGCACACTTACATACATGCAGGTGAAACACTCATAAACTTAAAATAAAAATGAATTTAAAAATTAAGTTCTCAATTTTTTAAAAAGAACTCTAACCCTAAAACCTTTCAATTAAAAGGATATACAAGAACTAAGTGAAGACAATGCACACTCCTGGGAGTCAGGAACATGAGGAATGGAAGCGGAGTGCAAAGGCTGCAGCTGAAGGGGGTACGTGGATAAAAGGACGTATGATCAGTCTGCACTACCCCTGCTGGGGTTCCCCACTGTGAAATACATTCAGGTAAGGCAGGAGCAGTGTATGTGTAGCTTAGTTCCCAAGCTGCCTGGCTTGTCGGCCCATGCTCTAGTGCTTGTATAGTTTACTGTTTCCACCATCAGTGTGGATGTATCTTCCCTTAGTGGTTTACATAGAATAAGGGACCTAAATCAATTAAAAATGAAAGCAAACCAGTCATTGGTGCACGTGCACCGCTCATTCAAACTTTGCACTCCATATTGCCATTAGCTGAGTGAGCAGTGATATTTCGGCCAGGCTGGTGCTCAAAACTTTAGCAGTTGTTCTAGGAAGTTATTAAAAAGGAACAGACACATTTTAGTAGATCCAAAAGATAAAAGTTCACAGCAGGCTAGAAATGGAGGTGCAGGCACATGTGCACGCATGCAGCACACGTGCACACATGCATGGCCTTGCTCTTTCAAAACTAAAGGAATGGAACAAAAGTTGGGAGGAGAGGGAACTAATTTTAGCTTCTTGGCCCTGTGGGAAACAAAAGACTGCCACCAGCAAGTGAAAAAAAGAGAGAAGGACCCAAAGACACAAGGCTGTGGATGTTTATTCCTTTTTAAGAGGACCCAGGAAGAAGTCTACATTTGTGTGGGAATATATAATGAACATAGTTTATGTTCAAGAGAGAAAACTATCTCCTTCACCCATAAATTTTTAGTGGTGGTAAGTTAAATAAAAATGTTGCCTTTTCTGTATAATTCTCCATTGAATACAGTTTGGGGGGGATTATTTTGGTTTTGGGTTTTGTTGTTGTTTAAGACAGGGTCTCCCTGTAGCCCCAGATGGCCTGGAACTCACTATGCTGACCAGGCTGACATCCATTTCTCAGAGATTTTCCTGCCTCTGCCTCCTGAGTGTGGGATTATAGGCATGCACCAGTCTGTTCAGGTTTTATTTATTTCTGCTCCCAAATGCAGTATTTTCTACTTGACAGTTTATAATGACTAGTAGGCAGTACATACTTCTTTTTAATTTGAAACAGGGTCTCACTTAAGTAGCCCTAGCTGGCCTGGAACTCACTATTAGACCAGGCTGGCCTTTAACTCACAGAGACCGCTTGCTTCTACCTCCCAAGTTCTGGGATTTAAGGTATGTGCACTATACCCAGCTAGGTATTTCTTAATAGTACCTGATCAGTAATTCAAAGATTTTAAATAAAAGAATGGGGTCTGTGCTCAAAGCAATGACAAAACACTCTGTATCCCTCAGTGAAACAGCCTTGAGGACATGCTCACTTCTCTTGTTCCTTAATCCTATGGGTAAAGGGTCCAGGTTGAGGAACTGCAACTTGTTCAGTATTATGCATTTTAACTCAGACAGAAAGCAGAGCAGAGCCCACTTTTCTTGTTGATGTGTTAGCACCCCGTTTCAGAAGGAGGGCAGGAAGAGTGATGGCCAAAGTAAGAGAACAACTTTGCTTGTTTGGATTCAGTTCCTGTCAGTCTGACAAGGATGTATTCAAGTAACTTAGTTTGATTTAGTATTCGAGCATCACCAACCTAAACCAGTATCAAATAACCCAAAAATAACCTGTTCCATCAAAACTCTAGAAAACACAAGCCAAGCCTGATGATGCATCCTCGAGGGGAAACATACTTCCAGGCTAGCCTGGGCTATATACACAAGGAGAACATCTCAAAAGTCAAAAACAAAACAGAAAAACCTCTAGAAAACAAATATATACAATATGAGTTTGGAAAAAAAATTAAAGTGTATGTCCTAATCACCACTACAATAGAAACAAGACTTTTCCCTCTTTTTTTTTCTTTTGAGACAGGGTCTCATGATGCAGTTTAGGTTCTATAGTCTAATATATATAGTTGATGCTGGTCTTGCACTCACAGCAATCCTCTTCTTCAGCCTCCCAAGTGCTGGGATTACAGGTGCAGGCCGTAAACCTTCAAGACACTCATGATGCTTTAAAGATATCCTAAAAATGCACTTCAGTAAAAAACTATTGGGTTTTTTTTGGGGGGGGGGTTGTTGTTGTTGTTGTTTTTTTTGACTTGCTGAGGCTTTTTATTTTTTTAAGTCAAGATCTTGCTGTCTAGCATGGGCTTGCCTTGAACTCAGGAGCTTCCAACCTCAGACTGCTGAGTGCCTAGATTACAGGCACAAACCAACACCAGTACACCTGGTCTGAAATTGCTGTGTTTTGTATTTTTTTTAAAAACTTTAAAAAAAATTTATTATTTTTATTTTATGTGTATGCGTGTATTGCCTGCATGTAGGTAAATGCACCCGTGTCGTGAAATGCCAATGGAGGTCAAAAGAGGCTGTCGGATCCCCTGGGACTGGAGTTACAGACTGTTGTTAGC